GGCGCGTTCTCTTCTCCCTTTTTTAGGCCTTGCTCTCCATCGTTAGTCGTAAAATAGAGAATTAATCCTCTAAAAAACTGAACTTGAACGTTTAGTAACAGAAAACGTTGACACGTTCGCTAAGCAGAAGGTGCCACGGAAAACCAGGGGAGGAAGCGGCTTGGCAGTGGCCTTGGCCTCCCGTCCCTGTCGAGGGCAGGGGGGCTGCACAATGGCCTCATCTCGGGAGGTGGGATCCGGTTTCTTACCCGCACGTTAGCCCTGAGTCAGGTGTCTGGTTCACGGGGATGACGCGAGGTGGGGGGGGCTTGCCCCTTGGATCGGCCTGGACCACGTCGCGCTCGCAGTTGTAGTACCCGAGACGCCAGCGCCACGGTAGAACGGTGGTCGCACCGGTCCCTGCAATGCCGAGGTCGCTGGTTCCATCTCCTGGGGGCGGCAGTTAAAGCAAATAGTGCCCCTCCGATTAGCATGGTTGGCTACGTTACGGTGCGAAAGAAGTTCAACGTACACAAATTTCCCCCACCCCTCCCCCGCGCCTCACCTCCACCCAGCAGTGTAAATGGGGAGTTGCTTGGCAGACCACGTGTGGTGGGGGTAAAGTGTGGGTGCTCCTTCCACCTCTTCCGAGGCGCCTGGCCGGCGTCCGCTCTGCGACGGCTTCTCCGTGGTTCTGTCCAGGCCACTCCGGCCTCAGTGGCGCCTTGAACCCCATGGCATCGCTTTGAGCTGAGGCCGCGAAAGGCAGAGGAGGCAGAGGTGAGAACGCAGAGGGACGCGAGCAGCTCACAGCACAGGAGCGGCAGGAGGGGCAGCAGGAGCAGTAGGGGGCAGCAGGAGCAGCAGGGAGCAGCAGGGAGTGGTAAGGACAGCAGGAGGGGCAGCAGGAGCAGTAGGGGGCAGCAGGAGCAGTAGGGGGCAGCAGGAGCAGTAGGGGGCAGCAGGGAGTGGTAAGGACAGCAGGAGGGGCAGCAGGAGCAGTAGGGGGCAGCAGGAGCAGCAGGGAGCAGCAGGGAGTGGTAAGGACAGCAGGAGGGGCAGCAGGAGCAGTAGGGGGCAGCAGGAGCAGTAGGGGGCAGCAGGGAGTGGTAAGGACAGCAGGAGGAGCAGCAGGAGCAGTAGGGGGCAGCAGGGAGTGGTAAGGACAGCAGGAGCGGCAGAGGGCAGCGGGAGCAGCAGCGGCGGCAGCATGGGCAGCAGGAGGAGCAGGGAGCAGCAGGGATAGCAGGAGCAACAGTGTCGGTAGGGAGCAACAGTGTTGGCAGGGAGCAGCAGGGGCAGCAGGAGGAGCAGTGTCAGCAGGGAGCAGCCGGAGCAGGAGGGAGCAGAAGGGGCAGCAGGAGGATGTGATTGCTGCTCCTGTGCCGTGAACCCGGCGACCCGAGCTCCGTTTTCGCTCGCGGCTAACATCGGTGATGAATGATATCTGCACCGGTCCTGGGCCTCCCCTGGGTCAACTCGGCATTGGACCGGCAAAAGGCCTGTGTGCTTACGTTTGCTGTGTTTGACTGCGTGTTGTGGAATGCCCCAGCTTTTACCTGGTGCCTGATGAAATAATTGAGTGTGCTGCCCGGTGTGTGTTTACACTTCTGTCGATTATTAACGGCACAGCAAATATTTAAATTACCCTGGCTACAGACACCTTCTTTGTTGTACACAAGTGCCCTATGGTTGTAGTGAACCTCTTGCGTCTGTGTGTGTGTGTCTATGTGGGTGATGTGGTGAATGCTGCTCACTCAGAGGAGGGACTTTGTAGGATGAACGTTGAGATATCTAAGGGCACGGGGTGACCAATAAGGTCTGAATTGGTCTGTAATAAAGTAGGGCACTGATAAGAGGTTGACAGGTATGATGTAGTTCGGGAAGCCTTCCAGGACAGTACTGTACTTGAAGAATTTACATCAGGCACAGATACAATGGGAGGCTGATCGATGCCCTGGTCTGGTCGAGGGATGGCTCCCGATTAGTCAACCATGTTCTGTATGCTGATGATCTGGTGATTGCTGCTCACTCAGAAGGACTTGTAGGCACTGCTGTTGAACCTCGAGTGTGCCACGAAGAGGTGGGGCCTTACCATCAGCCCCACCAAACTAAGCACCTGCTTGGGTATTTTGTCCCCCTCAGTCCCCATTAGTGATGGAGCAGTTGTGAGAGAGTGGAGAGTTTCCTATACCTGGATAGTGTGCTTATGACCGGCTCCGGTTTGACAGCAGACATCTCACTCCGAATCAGTCGGACGGCATTGTCTTTTCATCGGCTGCGTAACGCTGTGTGGAAGCTACATGGCCTGTCGCTCTGCATGAAGCTTCGGGTCTTCTGTGCCACAGTCATGCCCTCCCTTCTCTATTCTTGTGAAACATGGACCCCTCGAATGGAACATTTGCGCCGGTTAGAAACATTCATCCTGGCATGCCTACGATCCATCCTGGGTTTAACCAGGCTGAATTGTGAGCTCACAAATCCTTGAAATATCTGGCTACAATCTGGTCAGTGAGCTTCTCCGGCAGGCAAGGCTGCGCTTGCTGGTCATGTAGCCCGCATGCCAAGCCACCGTATGCCCAGCAGCTGCTAAACGGGGCACTACCTGGGCTGGAGGAGAGATGCACTGATATGGGGCTGAGTGGACTTGCCGACGACTGGTTACCTGCGGTGTCAAGATCGGCGTCTATGGAGGAGGCTCGTGAAGAACGCTACTGGGTAGTTGCAGGCAGTCGCCTCCAGCAACAACAGAGGGCAGAGCAGCGACGCTCACAAACAACGATCGGAATGCCAGGCGGCTAAAATACAGCAAGTTGGGCACAGTAGGGGGTACAGCTGGTGCATCTACCAGCCATCTCAGTCAGTCCCGAGACCTCCTATCAGCGAGCCTTCCACACTTCGCATGGCCTTAAAGTGCACCTGGCCTGGCACAGGCGCCATGGTGACGTCACCATCACTTCGTGGCAAACTGCGGGTATTGGTATGTGGGAGCAGAAGTAGCGGTTAGTGCACTGTGCTACGTACCCGGCGACCCGAGTTCGATTCCAGCTCACGGCCAACACCGCTGACGATTATCTGAACCGGTCTTGGGCCTTCCCTAGGTCGACTCAGCCTAAAATGAGTACCTGGTGCAGTGTGTAAACATTGCCATTAAGGAGACAAAGACGGCCGGGCGTGGTGCTGGCCACCCACGCCCTCGTGTGCCGTGCCGAACTTCATAAGTGATCGCTTAACAGCACTTACCCCAACAGTCTGTTAAGGCTATACGGGGGATATTTGTCTTTATCTATGTGTCTGTGTGACTATGAGTGTTTGTGGGGAGCGGTGGTGTCGCGGTTAGCTTGCCGCTCTGCAAACCCAACAGCCCGAGTTCCAATTCCCACTCACGGCCACCAACTCAAGTGACGATCATCTGAACCAGTTCTGGGCCTCCTCTAGGAGGCGCAGTGGTTATTTCAGCGCACTATGAACCCAGCGACCCGAATTCGATTCCCGCTCATGGCTAACACCGGTGATGAATATCTAGGGCCTCCACTAGGTCGACTCAGCCTCAAATGAATATCTGGTGGGGTGTGTAAACGTTGCCACTAGGGAGACAAAGGCGGCCGGGCGTCGTGTTGGCCACCCACGCCCTCGTGCGCCTTACCGGCCTTCATAGGTGCTCGCTAACAGCACTTGCCCCAACAGTCTGTTAAGGCTATATTGGGGATATTTGTTAGTGACAGAATGGGCTGCGTACTCTGTTCAAGAGAGAAATCGATAAGCAGACAATGTCTCCTATCTTCTCTACATCTCTCCACATAAACAGGAAGGGATATCTTACACAGCAGTCCACCCCCGCCGTCCCCACGGCTTTCTGGGAGTGCATAATGTAAGCAGCGTTGATTCATTATGGGCAAATTCTCTTGAGGTTTTAATAACGCGTTCACATGAGCAACAGTCAGCAAGTCAAAGGTCAAAGTGATTTTCTGCTCAAATGAGTAACGATGCGATGCTCCTGTCCTGATTACAGCCCTGAATCGGTGATGGAAATTCCACATTCATGTGGGGGGGGGCAAGTTCATCTGTTGGACAACTATCGTTTGTTAACATTGATATGCAAACGCCACAGCACCATCGCTTGGGTCTGTTTGTGTGACGCGCTGGGGTCTCTGTTTGTGTGACGCGCTGGGGTCTCTGTTTGTGTGACGCGCTGAGGTCTCTGTTTGTGTGACGCGCTGGGGTCTCTGTTTGTGTGATTTGATGGGGTCTCTGTTTGTGTGACTTGATGGGGTCTCTGTTGGTGCGACGCACTGGGGTCTCTGTTTGTGTGACTTGCTGGGGTCTCTGTTGGTGCGACGCACTGGGGTCTCTGTGTGATTTGCTGGGGTCTCTGTTGGTGCGACGCGCTGGGGTCTCTGTTGGTGCGACGCGCTGGGGTCTCTATTTGTGTGACTTGCTGGGGTCTCTGTTTGTGTGACTTGCTGGGGTCTCTGTGTGACGCGCTGGGGTCTCTGTTGGTGTGACTTGCTGGGGTCTGTTTGTTTGACTCGCTGGGGTCTCTGTTGGTGCGACGCGCTGGGGTCTCTGTTTGTGTGACTTGCTGGGGACTCTGTTTGTGTGACTCGCTGGGGTCTCTGTTTGTGTGACTCGCTGGGGTCTCTGTTGGTGCGACGCGCTGGGGTCTCTGTTTGTGTGACTTGCTGGGGACTCTGTTGGTGCGACGCGCTGGGGTCTCTGTTTGTGTGACTCGCTGGGGACTCTGTTGGTGTGACGCGCTGGGGTCTCTGTTTGTGTGACTTGCTGGGGTCTCTGTTGGTGCGTCGCGCTGGGGTCTGTTTGTGTGACTCGCTGGGGTCTCTTGGTGTGACGCGCTGGGGTCTCTGTTTGTGTGACTCGCTGGGGACTCTGTTGGTGTGACGCGCTGGGGTCTCTGTTTGTGTGACTTGCTGGGGTCTCTGTTGGTGCGTCGCGCTGGGGTCTGTTTGTGTGACTCGCTGGGGACTGTTTGTGTGACTCACTGGTGTCTCTGTTGTGCGCAGGTGCTAGAAGCTGCTCGCTAATCGCCACCACCGCTCGCGGAGGAGGAGCAGCCGCCCATGGCCGTGATGGCAGCACGGGGAGTGGTGCGGAATTAGCGCCGCCCTCCCGGTTGCTCAGCCGGCCCCTCATCGACGCGGAGCCGGAGAAAAACTCGCGCAAGCTCCCAGGCGCCATGGACCCCGCGCTGCCATTGCGCATTCTTAACAAGGGGCCCGACTACTTCCGGCGTCCGGCCGACGAGCCGAGCAAAGCGCGCGTGAGCGCCGTGGAGCGGCTGGAGGCCGACAAGGCCAAGTACGTGAAGAGCAAGGAGGTGGTGAGCACCAAACAGCAGCCCATCAAGCCGTGCGCGCTAGTGCGCCCACCGCTCTGCACAGCCGTGCGCCGCACCCATTCGCCGGCCCGCGCCGGCGGCGGGCAGGGACCGTCGACGGCGACTGCGTGCGGCGGCGGCGGCCCTAGCGCCCTCGAGGCCCTCAACAATGCGCTCAACGCCGCGCTGCTGCTGCACCACGCCGACGGCGTGGACGGGGCCGGCTCGCGCGATGCCGCGGAGCACCGTGCCAGGGACCCGGCTGGAGCGCCGGCGTCGTTCCACTACAGCATGTGCGACCTGGCGGACGCATCGCGGGCCGGGCCAGGCTTCGCCGGGTCATCCTCGTCGCCGCGAGGGGGGGCGGCCGCCAGCATGATCGACGTGTTCAGCGCGGCGGCGGCGTGCTCCGGCGCCGGCGACGGGGTGAGGTGGGACGCGTCGATCGGCTCGCGGGCGACGGAGCTCGGGCCGCGGTCGCAGCCCGGCGCGGGCCATCACCGCGACAGCGCTGTCGCCAGGCCACTGAGCGAGACGGCCTTCGTGGGCCACATGGAGTGGCCGCGCGTGCTCTACGGCGGCGGGCAGCAGGATGCCAAGGACAAGTGTGGGCCGGCGACGCAAGCCGGCGCCGTCGGCGCGCAGGTCGGCTGTTCGCAGGCTGCGGCGGTCGCCCCGTCGCAGTGTCGCGCCACCCAGGCGAGGTCGTCCCAGTCGCACGGCACCGGCCTCGCGCAGCGGCCGCCTCCTCCCACGCACGTGGGGCACCAGCCGCAGGCCACCCACGCCGGTTACCCCGGCCACGGGGCGCCGCCCCCACACCCGCCCGCGTTCCCCACCTACGCCTCCCCATGCCACGCGCCCCACGGCTACGCCGCACCGGCGCCGCAGTTCGGTCTCGCGCCGGCGCCAGAACTCGCGGCGCCAGGCCCGGTGAATCAAGGCGGCGCCACGGAGAGAGACGACGGGGCGCTCGGCGCGAAGCTTTGGGCACGCGCCGGGGCGCTAGAGGCCTATCGCCGCTGGTGCGCCGAGTCGGTGCGCTCACACCCCAACGGGGAGCAGCGCGGCGGTGGCGGCAGCCCCCTGGGGGGCGGCAACAACGTGGTGCGGCGCCTCTTCCAGGTGAGAGCCTCCGCCACACTGAGGTTCGTAGACTCGCATGGAGACCCACAGAGGGTAACGGTGGCTAGGAGATGTTAACTATCTCGCCTGGTATGCAGGAGGTCGTAGGTTTGAACCCGACCCTGACGCCTGCTGTATATTTGGAGTTTGAATGTCTCTCTCCCCACGGTTGCGTGGATTTTTCTCCAAGTCCTCCGGTTTTCCCTCCACGCGTTTAGAGTATTCATTGAGCAATCATTTGTGGGCAGGTCGTTTCTGAAAAAGTGCTATATTGCTCAGTGGGCCTGGATTTGATTCCTGACCCGGGCGGTTCTCCGTTTGGGTGTTCTCTCCCTTTTTCCCCGTGAGTTTCCTCCGGGTTTCCTGCTTTTCTCGCATAGATAAAACAAAAAAATGCAATGCAACTGGTGTTGGCCAAGCATCCCATTGGAGCAGGATCCTCCTGAAAAATATTTTTCAGGTAAATAAGTAAAATCACCAATGCCTTGCTCGTCCAATCCCCACCGACTGTGCTCTGCTGCCGTTGCCACGTCGTCGCGCGATTGCCGAACCGCCGTGAGGGCGCGCTTGCCCCGTCTGTGACGTGCTCCCCGCGCCCCCCCACGTCAGATGCTGGAGACCACGGAGCAGCAGATGTCTGCGGCGGCCAGCATGGCGCGCTTTTCAAACGGGGAGCCGCGCTGCGAGGCGGCGCCGCCCGGCGCGTCCCTCGAAGGCCTCCTGTCGCCCGACTCCACGCAGGTACGGGGCGCAGAACCAAACGTCGGTTATCGTGGTGCCAACCGACGCGTGGCGGCACGACCCGCGCGCACGTCGCAGAGCTGTGCGCCACGACCCGCGGAAACCTCCCCAGCAGACATTAGACCCTTGTTTCTCAACTATTTAAACTAAACTATTTAATTGTATTTTTGACTTAAAACTTTCATGACTGCAGGAATTCATATTATTTGGTTCTTTCGGTAAAGTCACGTAGATATAAAAAATAATAAAATACTAAAGTGAATCAAAAAACATTAATGTCGACTGTCGCCTGGTTCTTAATTGGAGTAAGTGTACTGGCCGTCTATAATATAGACTGCAGCCTGGTTAAATTTGATTTAAAGCTTTCGTGACTGCAGGGGATTCTATTCTTGTTCTTTCGGTAAAGTCACGTAGAAGGGAAACAATAAAATAATAAAAATACAAAACAATACAATTCTCACGATGTTTCGACTGCAACACAAGCAATCATCATCAGGTTTTCAGGTTTTCACACCTATGATGATTGCTTGTGTTGCAGTCGAAACGTCGTGAGAATTTTATTTTTTATATTTTTATAATTTTCTTGTTTCCCTTCTACGTGACTTTACCGAAAGAACAAGAATATGCAGCCTGGTTATTAACCTCGGTGAGTGTACTGGCAGTCTATAATGTAGACTGTAGCCTGGTTTTTAACCTGAGTGAGCATACTGGCAGTCTATAATGTAGACTTATTCTTGGTTCTTTCAGGAATGAAAAATAAAATAAAAATAATAAAGGTAAAATAATAAGGTAAAAAAAAACCACGACGTTTCGATCACAACACAAGCGACCGTCTTCAGGAGGAAAGAGGGAGATGGTCACCTAAGGCAACCGTTTATAAAGGTTTCAAAAATGGGCGTGGCACAAAACCAAAAGCTCCTGCGGTGCAATGAAGTGGGCAGGGCATATGTGCCCTAGGGTCAGAGAGCCCACAATGTGAAGCACAATTTAATTTTACCAGGTAAGGCCGCACTGAGCTCCGTAGCTGTTTTTTAGAAGCGACCTGACTACAAATGATAGCTCAACGAAATTAACTCGCCAAATACGCTAAACGCACGCTGATTCTAAATGTGGGGGGAAAAACCAGGGGACCCTCGAGAAAAATCCACGTGACCATGGGGAGAACCTATAGACTCCATATATCAAGGCGTCGGGGTCGATCTCGAACCCATGACCCTCCTTTACACCAGGTGAGGTAGTTCACATCACGCCACCTTGGCACCCTCAATCGGGAGAATAAAAAACGGTCAAAATTACCTGGATTGGTGAGATAGCTGTTTGTGACTCGGGTTGTCGATCTTTACATACCCTGAGGCTGGTTGTTCATATGGTGGAGTTAATCTGTACCTTACACTGAGCGTGTCGGTGGTGCATCTGTCGGTCAATCTTGGGTCTGTTTCGTGACCTGCCAGTAACGAGCCTTCCACACTTCACGTGAAGGCCTTGAGGTGTGCCTAGCCTGGCACGACAGCACTGCGGTGATATCACCGCCACTTCTTGGCGAATGGCCGGCCGCTGCCACTGTTGTCATCGTTCCTAATTGTTCGTTTCTGTACCTGCGTGCATTACTGCCGTGCGTGTGCGCACCGTCGTTCAGGGCGAGTTGGAGATGAGCACCCACAGCTCTCCGCGCAAGGCCTCCGAGGCGGGTAGCAGCGGGAGCGGCTGGCGCCCGGCGCTGCAGCGCTCCAAGTCGGACCTGAGCTCGCGCCTGGCGCGCACCGGCGCCGACATCGAGCGCTTCTTCAACTACTGCGGCCTGGACCCCGCGCTGCTGGAGGGCGATGGCTTGGAGGGGCTGGCGCGCGCGGGCTCCGACATCCTCTCGCTCAACCTGCAGAGCGCCAGCGTCCAGAGCCTCAGCTCGGCGCCGTCGCACCGAGCAGCCAGGTGGAGGCGGAGGAGCGGCAGCGAGCTGCCTGCGCCGTCTCCGTGGTGGAGCGCAATGCCCGCGTCATCAAATGGCTCTACAGCTGCAGGCAGGCGGTGCTGCACCAGAAGGCCAGTGTCGTGTAGGTCGCCGACCGTCCCCCGACGGGCCCCCGGTGGACGCCGACAGTCCAGCCACCCCCTCCCGCCTGCTCGCGTGGAAGCCTCCAGCATGCGGAAAGAAATCTCGCGAGCGAGCCGAGGGAGGGGACGAGAGAGCCGTGCGAATGCGCCGCCACTCGGCAGGCTCGCCGCACAGCTAAGGGAGTCGTCGTCGTCGTTGTTGTTGGCTCCATGCCCAGGTACAAGCGCCTACGTGCAGGGGATATCAGCCGCGTGCGTTTGTCATTGCTTGTAGCTCAGGTGCATGGCTCTCCCTGTGACCTGTGGGGGTGGGGGGTGCAACTATGGCTGAGGCGCGTCACCGCGTGAGATGACGAGGTGCGCTCCTCGCCGGAGCAGCTTTCGGGTGTGTACAGGTGGCGCAACTGTCCCGGAGACCGCTGGCCGGAGGGGGGCGCCCAGGGGGTGGAGGCTAATTTAATTCCCTGCGGCATAGCCCATGTCGACCATGCTATGCCGCTGCTGCACACCATGGGTTGAGTTTTAATGATTTAAAGTATTTCACGAGGCCAAGGCGACTGAGGGTATGTTCTCAGCGTGTTGACGTTACGGAGCGATGCTCTTGCCGTTGGTCTCGTCCGGTGCAGCCCGGGGGCCTGGCTCTGCTGGGTCCGGCACCACGAGCCGGCTCACGGACTCAGCCCTGCACCGTTCGCCCTCCTGGCTGGTCTGAATTTAAGCAACAACCTAAAACAAATTCGAACTCAGCGTTTATTTAATTAGATAAAAATTCCGTCAGAGGGGGATCTCCGCTCCCAGGGGAGGTCGAGGTTTGTTTCGAGAATGTTGAGATCCCGCTCTTCGCTAGCACCGTGGTCACGGCGACCCCTTCCCTGCCCCCACGTGCGCGTGTGCCGGCCCCGCACGCATTGCCAGTACTGGGCTGAGTGTGATGAGTGCGTGTGGACTGCGAAGGGGCGCGCCAAGGAGCCGCACCGGTTCGTCCATCGTGATCCGGCCTCGTCGCCGGCGTCGCGCGTCGGGGGGGTGCCTGCCGTGCAGCGCTTCTCGCTCGCTTGGGCCCAGCTGCTGGCACGCACCAGGAAGCGTTTGCCGTTGCGCAGCCGCTCGGATCCTGACCGACTGATTTTAAGTGGAGCGAGTCGAGCGGAGGCGACTGAGCTTGATACGTCCGCCGCTCGAATGACGCTCGTGCCTGTTGGCGGTTAAAGGGCCGCCGGTGGGAATTCCACATTGCTACGGTGGTGACCGGTATCTTCCGTAGAAACAATTCGCCGTGGACTTCCCCGTGGTGCTCAACGCCTCCCTTTCTGATCGCAAGCCAGGGATGCTGTGCCGGCGTTCCTGCCCTGGCAGTTGCCGGCACGGTTGAGCGAGCAGGAGGGGTGGGGGGGTGGGCGAGCAGCGGCGAGAGCGGCGCTGCCGAGAGAGGGCGCTGTCATTGTGTGGATACGAGGCGGTGTTTTTTCACGACTCGTGTTCTCCACCGACACAAACGGATAGCCTTTACATATCAACACGAGCAAAGTTTATGTTTTACAGGGATACCGTGCATCTAAATTGTAAAGCTAAAAACCGTACCCGCGTAGTGTCCTCTAACTTATTTTTGTCGAGGAGAAGAATATAATTTGTGACGATATTTTGCAACAACAACAATAATGGTAGCTTTTTATTCTGCCGAAACAAAGCTCGGCCCGCGTCCTTCCGAGTTGGAGGCCTGGGGTGTGGAGCTGTAGCTCATCGCCCGGCGCCGGCTGCGCAGGAGACGGACAGTGTGCTGCGGTAGCTGGCAACATGAGGCATGTGGGGCGACTCGGCGGAGAGGGTGCGAGCAACCGTCGGGGAGAGATTCACGGGGCCCGCCGGGTCTTGCGTCATGTTGCAGCAATACAACGCCGCCGCCACTGCTGCTGCACTTGGGTTTGCTGCTGATGCTGACCCCGCGAATCACTTGAGACACCGGCGCGGTGTATGGTGTATCCTCGGACCACGTGGCCGCATTTACCCTGTACCGCACGTAACGCGGGAGTCGGGGGGGGGGGGGTGGTGGACGACTCCTAATCATCAGAGAGAAAAACGATTGAAAGTGGGGCTGTCCCGAAGTGCGGAGTGACGCTGCTGTGAGCCGCATCTCCACGCGGCGCCCGCCCCGGTTAGACCCTCCCCCCCCCGCTCTACGGCGGCAACTACGGCGGCACTGCTTTGAGCGATCCAAAATTGGTTTGCGATATTCATTGGTCACGGTTAGTGGTGTTATTTTAATTATTGTGTTTGACATTGCTTTTAACGTGTTTTATATTGATGTTAATAAAAAAAAGCAATAGAAGTAACAGAAGCTGTGAATGGGCTGATCTGAATCCCCATGGAAGGCACCGGGTGTGGTGAGTGGGGCAACCCGAACCGCGAGGACGCGCTGCTTGCAGCGGTGACTCGCGGCAAGGGTCGCGCTCCTCAGAGTCGACGGCTGTGCAGGGCACGCTGCACGCCGCACGCCGTCGTCGTGTGCAGCTGATGCGGGAATCGCCGCGAACCGTCGTGACCACACCGTGCTCCCTTGAGGTGGCGTGGGGAGGAGAGGGCGAGCTGTGGGCAGTCGGCGCCGATTCGGAATTCGCTGTGCGGAACGAAAGTCGCCCCCTCGGCGTAGACAAGAGAAATCGCCAGCGCTCGTTGAAACTTTGCGCTTTGATGCCCACGGATTTCTGTTCCGTGCCCGCCTCGCAGCCAGCTGTGTTACCGACCGACAAGGGGTATTTACGATTGATACATCAAATTGCAATAACGAGGCCATAGGTACGACCGCGACGGTTCGGGAACCGACTTGAGTCGACGGACAGAGGGGCGAAGCGCCGAGTCAACCCAAAACTGGGATTGGAACTCTCGCGACCTCGCGACCGCGAGCCGCTCGCTCCACCGCCGAGCCGCTACCCTCCTCTGCGCTTCACGATGGCAGACAGCGCCCGTGCACCGGCAAGAACTGCGTGTGCCACATGCCGGCACGGCGCCCATCTGTTGCCAAACGAATCCGCTCATGTGCAGTAGGCTTGTTTATCGGTCGTGCTTGGAGTGCATCTCGTTGAAACAACAAATTACGTTGCCTAAAGGAATGATCTAAATTAATGTACCAGCCAGTGTCCTCCACAATGAAGGTTATCCTTAAAGTAATTCGATGCAAGAGAAATATGTGAAAGCCACCTTCTGCTCTCGTAATGAAGAAGTAAGTAATAGTGATAACTTCCTGTGAATCGCAGCAACACGTTCCCCAAGTGCAGAGACGTCTCTCAGGCTGCCACCACTGCTGATTTCGACTCCACAAGCCCGACAGCTGGTAGCGCCGCAGCCCCCGTAGTCTCGCGTCCGCGCTCGCCCCGGTGTGAGCAACGTGGCCGTGGCGAGCGTGTTCGCTGGCTCGCCGACTTTGAGTTGCGCACAGAGGGACACGGCGGCGGCAGCCAGAGATGGGGAGCGCGGCCTGGGTCAGTGTCGCAGCCTCGTCGCGCCAAGCGGTCGGGTGTGCGCCCGGTGGCGCTGCAGTTAAAGCCGCTCGATTGGAGAGGGAACTTTATGACCTCTTGACCCGTGGGGCGAAGCAGCGTGGGGTAGCGACCGCTTGCCATGATGGGCGTTGACACCCCGTGAAGTCGCTGCTGCTCGTGCCTCGCATTGTTCATAAATTGAGGTGTGCAGTCACAGAGTGTACGACGAGCCGAGTGAGTTGCAATGTCCACCCTCCTAGGCCAACCCCTAGGGGGTCCCTCCTGGCAAAGCCCCCCCCCCCCACAACGTGATCCCCCTTACTATCCCCGAGTCGTCTTTCTAGCGATTCGTGGCGAACGCTTGCGTCGTTAAGAGACGGTCGCGAAGACATTTCACGTTGTGCTCGAGAGGATTTTGTACGTGATGTGCGTCGCAGAGAATGCGTGGTGTGTCCCCGCGCCCTGCTCCTGAGACCTGACCTTTTGGACATAACCCCATAAAGCCTCGTCCACTGCGCCGACCAGTCTGGGGCAAAGGTGATCCCTGCTTCCCGCACAGTTCACCTTTGCGCCAGACTGGTCCTTTGTGCCGTGGCTGGCATTGCTGTGCGGTGGCTGCGCCGTGTCTCTGTGGTGGCCGCGCCGTGTCTCTGTGGTGGCCAACGCTGCTGTGTGGTGGCTGGTACTGCTGTGTGTGCATGAAAAGAGACAAAGGCGGCCGAGCATGGTGCTTGCCACCCACCCCCTCGTGTGCCATGCTAGCCTTCATAGGTGCGAATCGCTAACAGCACTTGCTCCAACAGTCTGTTAAGTATATACGGGGTATCTTTGTCTTAGGTGGCTGGCGCAACTGTGTGTGTGTGGTTTCCGTGACTGCTGTGTGTGTGTGGTACCTGGCGCTGCTGTGTGTGTGTGGTAGTTATCACTGCTATCTGTGTGGTGGCTGGAGCTGCAGTGTGGGTGTGTGTGGTGCCCGGCGATGCTGTGTGTGTGTGGTGGGTTGACGCTGCTGTTTGTGTGGTGGCCGGGCCTCCAGTCAGTGCGTGTAGATCGTGAGGGGTCGCTGTACCCTCTCCGTAGCCGTGCACCGCGCGGTGGCGCTGCTGAACCTGTGTGGTCGCACGACGAGAATCCGCGTTGCTCCCTTTCCCTCTGAAGATGTCCGGAGCAAAGAGGACCCACGTTGGCTTGTTAATGAAACTTTTTTAATTTACCATTGCGTCGGTACATTTGGTGTTTGCGCGCCGTTCTCACAGCGCGAGGCTGTCATGCAGGCAGACGCACTATGTGTCGCGGACGGGTGCAGCCTGTGGTAGGTTCGCAGGATGCGGCAGTCGTCGCCTCGTGTAATCCCATTCGCAATTTGGAAAACGAGCGTCACTGTGACACTGGCACAACGTGGCCCACAATGCTTTTTAAAATCGAATCGTGGAATCTTTCCGTGTCCACTGTGGAGCAGACAGCCGCGTCACATTCGCCGTCAACACCCCCCCCCCCCGCGGTATTAACCGGGGCGGCCGCGAGGCTCGAACCGCTACCCACTCGGCCACGTCGCTGCACTGAAGTTACTAAACAGCGCACGCTGCAGCAGAGCCCAACCAAGCGGGAACGAGGAGGGGCTGCGCGACCCCCGGTAACCATGCCGGC